GGTGTATTCTTAAGGTAGATACTTGCTTTAATTAGCATAAACCCTAAAAAACCAAACTCATTGCCATCGAGTCTATTCCAACTTAAAAGCGATCCCCTTTAGGTTTCCGAGGTAGTAAATCTTTATAGAAGTAGATTGCCCAGTCTTTCTTCCATGGAGCGGCTGGTGGGTTTGAACCCCCAATCTTCTGGTTAGCAGTTAAATGCCTTTGACACTATGCCACCAGAGTTCTTTCTAATTAGTTGTTGTTGTTGTTATATGCCATCGAGTCAGACCTGACTCATAGCGACCCCTCCTTGGGTTTCCGAGGCGGTATCACTGCAGAAGTAGACTGCCCAACCTTCCGAGGAGTGGCTGGTGGGTTTGAACCGCCAGCCCTCTTGTTAGCAGTCAAGTGCCTTAGGCACTGCGCTACCAGAGCTCCTTTTAATTAGTATAGAAATATTTTAATGTTTCTGTTTTACCAGTAAGGCTCTGTTATGATAAATGTGATAAACTGGGCTATGTTTAAGGGAAATCTCATAAAAACCTCACATTTTACTTCTATCCTAAAGTTTTCTTCAGGTCTTGAACCTTCTCCAGGGGTTGTGAAGAGGTCTTTAGTTTTATTGGTGAAGGGCAAAAGAAAGCTAGGGTGTGTGTATTTCTCTGTGTGTGTGTGTACTTCTATTATGTTTCTCAGTTAAAGGGAGTGTTTCATTTCCAGTAAAATATTAAAGGTGACATTTGAAAATGAAGAGCATGTGTGTATGTATGTCTTTATTAACAGTTTACTCTCATTAATATTTTCACTTAGTATTATCAAACAGGTGTCCCTACCTTAAAGACATAGCAGCGTGTCATAAACACACACATGCATACTTGTACATACACATTTCTTTTTGTCCAGGCAGCAATTATTGTAATTTGATAGTGTGGGAAACAGAGACAGTCCTACCATTTGGTCTAATTTGACACTTGAGGCCTATTGAGACTTTCAGATCCCTTTAAATAGGAATAAGTTGCAAAGAAGGTGCTAACTGGTCTGTTGGGACTTAATGGTTTCTGTTGAAAAGAAATATTGCTAATTTAAATTGCTAAATTAAAAATAAAATTATTATAGCATGAAAAAGAGGCATTTCTCTTTTCTTTAGCTAGATAGTCACTTAGTGATGACAGTTCTGCCTCTTAACTCAAATTTAATCCATTCTTCTTGTTCCATTCCTGTTGCCTCTCTTTAACTTTAGGTTTTCATTGCCTCTTGCCTGTATTTATTATAATAATTTCTAAACTGGTCTTTCAGTCTCTAGTCTGATCCCAGTCTAATCATCTTCCATATTGCCACTAATATGATCTTTCTTAAAACTCAAAATCTGAGTACTTTCCTTTTTAAAACCCTTCAGTGGTTTCCCACTGAATTATGAATTCTAAATTTTATAGCACAACATGGAAGACCCTTGTGCTTCTAGCTCATCTCCTTCCATTCTGTCTCTTAGGTTTTATGCTTCAACAATGCTAAATAGCAGACCAATATCCCTCATGAATATAGATGCAAAAATCTTCAACAAAATCCTAGCCAATAGACTCCAACAGCATATCAAGAAAATCATTCATCATGACCAA